TAAACCAAGATCGACCACATACTTGGGGCCATCATCATAAGTAGGCCATTGACTCTCGTCAAGAAATGGCTCGAATCGAGGATTCAGTGCTCATTAGGTTCCTCAAAGAGAACTCATGCGCCATACGGGGAGGGACCTCGGTGGTCAACACGTCTAAGGCGCATAGTCAGTAATCATGTGGGAGCAAGGCCTATGGTATATGATCGGTTTTCCACACGTACACTTGTTCTCATTGATCACTACTTTATGTTTTCAAGCACCCAGTCTTCACCACCAATGTTAGTTCCGCCACCCTCTAGAATCTCATATCCATGGTTGATCGGATCAAACATGAACCCGTCTGTCGTTTAGACTTTTTCTTTGAGAAAGCTAGTTCCTGAGATGCTAAAAGTGGCCAAGCTTTGCCTGTTGTCCATAGAGACCTCGCATGCTTCTTCCTCGAAACGAACCAAGAATTCAACTTGTAAAAGGTGAATGAGGCAATAGCAAATCACAAAGTCTTAGAAGGTCAAGAACATCTCTCGCCATGTTACTAGTCATGAAGCCCCATCTCCAACCACCCATGTCATATGCAAGTGACCACTTATCCTTCGACGCCATCAACTCGCTCAAGAATTGCCTGCCATCAACATTTGTGGCTAACTTCAGGGCATCTAACTTGTCTTTGAATAATTGAACCTCTTGCTGCCTGCAAACCTCCTCAAATAATTTGAAGTTGTCCTTTGTGTGATCACGCCTTATAAGATTCTGAGCAAGGTGTCTGGTGCACCACCGATGATGTATTTGGCCGTAACCAGGAATCTCTTGTTCTACGGCATTCGTAATGCCGAAGATGCCTATCGGATATCACACAAACATCACGTCCCTGCACCAATTACCACTTGTCTTACTAGCCCGAGAAACCAACACCAACTATCCGTGTCCTCCTTCCGAACAATCGCAAAGGCCAATGGCACAAGTCGGTCCTCTGCATATCTGTCCCCAATACAAATAAGCATTGTGCCTTCAAATTTCCACAAGAAAGGTCCCGTCAATTGAGACGAGCGGGCCTGCAATGCTTGAATGCTTCGATGCTTCGCCTGAACGCCCAAAACGTCCTTCCCAAATACCCAGCTACCATTTCTTGTTTCACCCTCCTTAGGTAAATACTCAAGTGCATCCGTGATTTACGGCCCTCATTATGTTCAACATTACAGGGGAGGCGCTCATAAGCTTCTTCCCAATTTTCAAATATTATTTCCAAAGGCACGTTGCTTTTGCCTCCATGCTTTCCCATACTTGACATAGTAATTGTATCGTTGAAAGATGATCTCAACCAACGCAGATAATGTAATGGTTGGCATATGCTTCACCACGGGGCATAATTGCCTTGCAATGAACCTAGAATTAAGGCACAGATGGTTCTCTTACAAATGATGCTAACAAACATGTGGTTGCTTCACCGAGGTAATCTTCCATTTGCACGCCATTCGTCTTCCTAGCACATACTCTCCAACCACATTGTTGTTCTTCACAAGCAACAAAGTACCTCTTTTTCCTTGAATGAATTGATGACCCTAAAAGGTCGGTTGTGTACAATGGAGTACTCTTGCAACCATGATTTCAACTCATCCATGGTAGCAAACAATATGCCCTTCCAGTATGATGAGGCAACCGCTAACATCGAGCAACTTGGCCCACCATCGCCTCTCGCCCTATGACCATGGCTAAGGTCCTCGAAATCACCAACTAGTGGATCTCTCCAAGGCAAGACCCTAGACAATATCTCTATTTCCCTTAAATTGGGGGTAACCAATGGCGTCGTCATCGAGTCTTCGACTATCTCCTCTACTGAAGGACTCATCATCTCCAGCTATCTCCATGTCAAAACGGTTCGTAGCCCTAGCATCACCAAAGTCTTCTTCACTACTAAGATCATCTTCGTCGCTAAGCTCATCCTCAATAGAAAAGTCTCAGCTAGCGTCGTCCAAACCTTCTTCTGCATCAACAATTACATAATCATCATCCTCTTCATCACTATCATGATTGCCCTCACCATCGGCAACCGGATTCTCTTCCTCATCTCCAACGTAGCCTAGTTATGTGACAAGTATTTCTTCTTCAGGCAAAGGACCATAACCTATGTGAGCGGGGGAAGATGGCCATGCTTCGAAGTTGTCATTTCCTAAGCCGGACTCCTTACTTACTACTAAATCCAAAGATCGCACTTCTGAGGCCAATACAACTGCCTTGTAATCATTCCATTCAGACTCGTTTGTAATTTTGAGCAACCGCTTGATCCGAGGACCCTTCGACGACCCAACATCTATGACACCTTCAAACTGAACATGCACGTCTCCTTCATTCCAAATTAACTTAACTCTTCACTCGCTCCACTAAGCGGGTCAAAGATGGTATTTTAGAAAAAATCAACAACTCCTCACACATGTTCGTAAATTCCAAACTATCATCTCTTGTCCTAACAATACGGCCTCCATGATGCAACCTCACTAATTTATCCATCTACAGCCATCACACAACAAGTAGTGTAACATATGAATATATTTCAATCCAATAAGTAGAAACTAAAATATATCATTTCATCGTTTCAACCCCAACAACATAATCATTTCTAGTCATAACAAATTGAAATGTAATGACCAACAAATAAATAAAATACATAGTAACCCTAATGACCAACAAATAACTAACCCTAATAACACCTACAATAAACAAATAACCCTAATGACCAAAATAACTAGAAACCAAACTAACCTAACATGTTCGTCTACATAAAAGCAGTTTAAACAACAATGCACTCAATCATCCTTAGCCATACATTTTGCAAATGCAAACACAAATATACCAAATCACCAAACAACCATGATTCTAAATGATTAGGGACAATGTAAGCACATCTATGGGCATTACCTCGAGGAAGCTTTCTGGAGCCGAGATCGTGGCACCGGGGGTCGATTTTGGGGTTAGGGTTGTCAAGCATGGGGAAAGAGAAAGAGATGGAGGCCAGCGGTTTCAAATGAAGGAGGAAGAAGAAGGGCAAAGGTCTAGTCGGGTCACGCCGAGGTCTGGAGGCTTCTGCGTTATGACCCAACGCCGAGTCATTGGCTTCGCCGCATTTGGCCAGCGCGGATGGGGCCAGAGCTCGGCGCTTCGGTCTCAATATCGCCGAGGTTGGGTACTTGGCGACGGGCGACACGACGCCGACGTCTCTCGACCCATCGCTACTAACGATGTCGACGATGACCGGTCTTCCGTGGACGTGGCAAAGACTCGGCGTCGAGTGACATGTCATATCTCGCGTCATGTGCTAAGACGCATAGAAATGGTCTATTTTCAGAAAATGTTTTGGCGCTGGTATTTTTCTAAAATTGTTTTCAAAAAACCAAAATACGAAAATTTCACGTTTCCTCCGCTCCGCTGTCCATAGTCGACCATGCAAGGCGATCCAAAGAAGAACTTCACCTTCGGTGGAACCGCCGCACGCCAAAGTTCCTTGCCCCCACCATGCTCGTCCAGCCCACAAAGTAAGCCCTGTACGCCAAACGTACGGAATATTGACCATCAGCTGACCAGCGCCAAATGAAGCGATCAGATTCCAAAGGCCGCAGCTGAACGTCTTGAAGCATCGCCCAATGGCGATCAGTGAGGGCGTCCTTAACCGAACGCCCGAGTCTCCTACGTCCGACTGCCTTGCAGAGGTTGGGGGCGAAAGTGGGAATGGCCCCAGAAGGCAGCCACACGTCAGTCTAGAACCGTGTGGAGGCGTCGTCGCCAATCTCGACAGTGACCGATGAGCTGAACATGGAGGATATCTTTCTTTCCGGAGTAGACGGCAGCATCGTCCAAGTGGAGTCCGGCTTGGTCCGGCGTAGCCATTCCCATCTTAGGCGTAGCGCATACCCCGAGGATTCTAAGGTCGGGGATTCCCAGGCCTCCACTGTCTTTGGGTGCGCACACTATCGGCCAGGCGATCTTGCAGCGTCCACCGGAGACCGACTCGGAACCAGCCCAGAGGAAAGCGCGACGTCGTCGGTCAATCTCGCCAATGGCCCACGCCGATAGGCAGCAGCTGATGGAGATGTGCACCGGAATGGCGGATAGGGTTGTCTGGGTCAGGGTCGCGCGCCCTGCGTCAGTTAGGAGACCGCCCTTCCAAGTCGGTATGCAGGCCGCTACCGCGTCGACGAGCCGCTGCTCTTAGCAGCGGTTAATCCTGGAGAGCGACAGCGGCGCGCCCAGATATCTGGTAGGGAAGTCCTGGACCTTGCAAGGGAACACCTGGCGCACCGCGTCAATCTGTGACTGGGAGCAGCGGATCGGCGTGATGACGCACTTGTCGACGTTGGTGACGAGTCCGGACGCGCCCGCGAAGAGGTCCAAGATGGCCGCATGTTGTTGAAGTGATTCACATTTGAAGCCATCCGTATCTTGATATGCTGTCTACTTTAGAAAATTGAATACAGTACATCAGCATATTCGATTACATCTACGAATCATCATTATACCATGCCACTTCACACTTGTTGAGTGGTCTTGCACATTAAATAAAAAGAAAGGGAAAAAACCCAAGAATTTGAAGAGAAAGTCCAGAGTGCACCTAGGCATATGGCAAGGCAACATCCTTCCATTGGAGAACTCAAGGAGCTTAATTGCCATTACATAATTTACATTGATGTATCATAATTATGCCTAACTTGAATTGCAACGTGAAGGCGTTACTATTGCAAATGTTTATGATTACTTTAGCATGCATCTTCTTCAACATACATCCAATACAGAATTCCATTGCAAGGCACTTATGCGCACTCCCTTAATCATCATATGGTTTAGTTCACAGGAGTATTCGGGGCATCTCAATCTCAAAACCGCCTGTCAAAAACTAGCTACAGTGTCTTCTAAAAGCATGTATCTGCTGAACTCAGTTAGTCAGTTAGATTGTTAATACTTCAGAGCTCAGAGGCAAAATTGGGGCACAATCTCGTGCTCTACATATCACATACTCACGACAAACATCTGGCATCAAAACCTCCCTTGTCCTTCTCTTTGATCTCATCCGGTTTGAGCACATGCAGGAGAATTGTCAGAACAATCTTTATGATTTCCTCTTCATCGTACGATGTAGCAAACCTGACTGCAAAATGTAATTGTTTTAATGTGTCACCTCATGAGTTAACTCGATACTCCTTGTTGTGGTAGATACCAAGATAATCTAAACCTAAGCTATAATAAGGGCTGTTTGTGTTATTTCAAATGGATAGAAAGTATTCAATTATATGTAAATAAGCTGGACTATTCTAATTGCTTACCCCAAGGAAAGATTGGAAACTCCCATGTTTGCTTAGGAACTGATATAGCATATGCAGCAACCTGAAAATGATTGAAACTACTTGTGTCAGGCATTGCTTTGGTGCAAAGCATTTTCCAAAATATGTGCAGTTAGAATGCAGCATACATACAAGAGTGGAAGCAGCAAGTGAGCAGGGAGAATTGAAAAGTAATGAGGTATCTTCTGTTTCATACAGAATGTCCAAAATTTCCATGCACACTTCCAGATCCAAAAGCTCACCTAATTTTGATATTTCCCTGGCAGTGAAGAAGAAAATAAGGAGTGAGTGAATTAATTGAAAAATATAAAGCTATGTTTATTTATATCAAGATGTCAATAACTAGCAACTAGTAGCAATTCACACAGCTGTCCAACTATGGTAAAATACTAGCAATAGTAATAGAAATACTAATAATGATTCATTTGCTTAGTACTTACTGATAATAGTTCCAGTGGTCATTAGTTTGTACTTTGTAGGATTGGTGAAACTGTACAAACATGGGAATCAAACAAGTCGTTCAATAGGGGGGTTTAGGAGATTTTCTTTTTATCAAACACGCAGGGAGCTGTATATCTTTCTATTAAGAAGGATATCTAGAGGAATTTTCTGCTTATCCAATATGAAATTTCTTTTCTTAATTTTTCATATTGCCAGATTCACTTGTGAAAACAAGAGAAGATATATTGTAGATAGGAGACATGTTATGAGATTATTTTCGCTAATGTGCCCCCATTTTAGCATTTCTCAGAAAGATATTTGGTGCTAAAAGCTGCTATAAAGAGCTACACAGTCTGCTTCCTAAGAGTGAGAAAACAGAATGTGACACAGTTAACATTTTAGTTGTGATTAGTTACTACTTGCTACTCCCTCCGCCCCAAAATAATTGCACATCTTGCACTTCGAGGAGTCAACAAATCTCTAGTTTGATTGTATTTATAGGAAATAGTATTAGCATTTGGACCTCTAAATAGATTTACTATGAAAATATATGGTGTGATTGATCTAATGATATTTATTTGATATCATAAGTATTAGTACTTATATATATTTAGTTAAACATAAATTAGTTGACTCCTCGATGTGCGAGATGCGCACTTATTTTAAGACGGACGGAGTACACATGTTTGTGATAAAATAAAAACGAGGACTAGATGAGAGAGATTTCATTACTATAATAATGGTAATTCACAACAACAAAAAAAGAATATTTTGTATAAGCTCCCATTATTCACACTTTCAGGTTTCATAGTTTGCCTTGAACAGGGTTAACTGCTGTTTACGGATCAGAAAAAGGTTGTAAGCAATCCAAATAACCTGAAATGGATGAGAAGCTCCTCCAGGTATATGAAAGCAATGCTTGAAGATCCAATGCTGTGATCCACTACCTAAAATCCCACAAAAAACAAAAAGAATATAACATAGTTGACCCTATCAACTTAACATATTGTCCAGTAATAATCTTAGCCAGGAGTTACCTCCAAGAACACCAATTCCTGCAGCATTACAGATTAGAGAAAACACCTTCAGTGATTCAGTCACAACAAGTATGCATTCAGAAAAGGAATAAACAGTTTATCATGAACTCACAGCAGTGGCGAAATCGCGGCACATGAAATGCTGGTCGGCGATGATGCGATCACCCAGGGCTTTGAGGCTATTCACTGACATCGGCCTCCGATCATGGATCTGAAGGAAGAATTTCACAGAGAAGGCAAGGTAGTGCTACCGCCCGCGACATGAAAGCACGCAGCGTTAGCTCAAAGGAAAGGCTTACAGTGTCTCTCACCTTGCTGGCAATCCACACCGCGACGAGCGAGAATAGCTCGAGGTTGCTGTCCCTCAGGGGCTCGAGAAGCCAGGACCTGACGACTTGGCCGCTTCGTGTGCCGCAGTACCCCGTCTTCCTACAGCAACCGGGGCAAGGGATGAGAAATTCAGAACCATCGTCCCCCAGAGAAGAAGGGGTGAATGTTGGATCACCTCGGGAGCGCCGGGAGGAAGCGTCCGGCGAAGAAGGTAAGTGCGGCGTACTTGACAATGGGCCGGAGGTCGAGCCGCTGCGAGGAAATCATGGGATGTAGCAGCTGAGGTCTATCAGGGTTTTGAAGTTGGGTTTGGGAACGGAAGGCACGGAATAGCTCACCATGGAGGCGTGGAGAAGGAACTGGAGGAGGTGGCGGCGCCTGGATGAACTCGGCCACGTGCTCGCCGCCGCCGCATCGTCGTCGTCCTCGATTTCCATTGTGACGCACGAGACAGGTAGACGAGCAGCAGCAGGGCCCCCCGGGACAGCCGGCAGAGTCTTCGGAGTCGAAAGCGCAAGAGAAGCGGAGACAGAGGCCGAGCGGGCCGTCCGCGTACAGATCCAGAAGCGACCCAAGTACAAGACGAAGGCCCACTCGTCCATCAGGCTGGAGCAGTTCTCCCCTGCAATATGGCCCAATGAATGCTTTCCGAATGACAATAGGTGAGACTATTTTGATTTGTTGATAGGGGCTGTTTGGATGCTGATACAAATTTATTTTTTTTGGGAACTTGTCGGAATGTGTTCCTATTTATTGATAGGCTTTTGGTTTACGCGGCCAATTGCAGCGAGTGCTTGTCAAAAAGCTTTTGTAACTAATCGTGTAGGGGATTTTGGTCTGTTATTAGGAATTTTAGGTTTTTTTTGGATAACGGGTAGTTTGGAGTTTCGGGATTTGTTCAAAATAGCTAATAACTGGATTCCTAATAATGGGATTAATTCCTTACTTACTACTTTGTGTGAGCTTTCACGGGCCACAGCTCAAAACCTGTGGCGATAATAAAAAAAACTTGACCTGTCGGGGATAACACAGCCCCGGAGTATTGTGCTTAAGAAGAAGACCTTCTCACGAAAGTCAAGAAAACCCCTGAACCTCTGTCCCACCCATACACAGCGGCACCACAGCTCCCGTGACACTGTGCTAGCCTTAGACCTATGCTTTGGCGTGGGACAGACGAGAGAATTTTTTTCAACGCACAAATAAATTGTGCCTCCTCCGGCCAACAAATCCGCCCCTAAGGGGGTTCGAACTCTGAGCGATAAAGTGCAAAGCGCATAGCCAGATCAGCTGGTCTAGGGTTCGCTTGCACCTGTGGCGATAATAAAAAGGAGAGGGAGTTGTGGCTGCCTAATAATAGTTTAACGGTAGCAGCGCTGTTGTGGCGGTCACGCACCTGTGGCGTGGTGGATTGAGGCAGGGAACCAAACATTCCCTGACTTTTTGGCACAACGTAGAAAAGCTGCATGGATATGTTTGCACTTTTTTTTAACAAATATCATATCTTCCAAAAAAAATCAGATATGCAATAAGAAGTCAAGTTGTCAAGCTATAATTTTCAATTAATTTTTAAACCCTCTCAGTGAACGTTGAACTCCTTTTAACACTGATGGATCCATCAAGTTAAAATCAAATATTGACCATGTTTAGTTGTCTTTCTAACGGCTTCAAAAGATGTGTGGAGCTGTTTTTTTTTTCAAGCAGATTAAAATAGAATAGCTCCTCGCCTCCTCAAGCGGAGTTTCTTAAAACCGGCTCTTTACAGGAGACGGGTGCTGGATGGAGCTGAAAATATTAGCTTCTCCCGTCTTGTTCTCTCCTATCTACTATGAGAAGGTGTTTTATCAAATATTTTTCAATGCAGCTTCATAGTAAAGCCGGAGGAAAAAAAAATTCTCCACTAGTGAAGTAGAACTGCTCTAATAAATAGGTTTATAATAATAAAAGGTAGATAGATGCTTGGAATTTGGGTTGTGGACGTGAAATGAATAGAATTTTTTTTATCTAACTAAAAGCTTGAAAACTTTTCTGTATTATTCTTATGTCTAAAGATTTCTCTTTTTTCACTATATATATGTCGTAGTGCTGACTTTTATTTTCAAATGGAGTTCAAAATCCATCTACCTTCATCGGAGGCTGAAGTCACAACTTGTTTTTACCGCTATCTAAATTTTTGCAAATGCACTGTGCATTGTCGTGCAATTCCTCTCCAGACTAAAGAAACGAACCATGTCAAACTCAAAGGGTTGATGACTTGATCAACCATCAAATTCCGCAGAGAAAGAACGCTCAAATTCGGCGTCCACGAGGACACCCGCGATGACATGCACCACGGTCTCGCCCCTAACAATATCGACGCACTCCGACCGAACGCCGTTCACGACGAGCGCCCCGCGCGCGTCCCTGGAGGCGTAGAGGCTCAGCCCGGACACGGAGTCCAGGAGGCGCACCGCCCCGGCCCCGCGCGGCGGCGGCACGTCCGCGGCGAGCAGGCGCCGAGGGACCGCGGAGAAGCCGAGCACGCGGGAGAGGATGGCGTAGGTGTTTGCGTCGGTGTCGCTGGCCGCCGCTTCCCCTCTAGCGGCGGCAGCGCTGGCGTTGGACGACGGCCCCTGCAGCCTGAGGACGCGGGTGAAAGAGTCCGCCGAGGGCACGAAGACGGTGAACGGGAGGTCCTTGGGCAGCATGGACACCATCGCGTCGCCGAGCTCCCCGAGGCTCGCCGCCGCGCTGCTGCAGCGAGGCGGCGGCGGTGCCGAGGACGAGGATGGTCTTGCGACGACGGCGTGGTGGTGGGACGGTGGCGAGGGAGGTGAGGTGGTGGAGAGAAGCACGAGGAGCAAGAAGAGGATTGCAAAGGCGAAGGCGATAGCCACGGCGAGGAGGCGTGGCGGCGGCAGCGGCAGCCGTGGCCTGAGCGGGGACAGCCTCCGCTTCCTCGCCGCCGTCACGTTCCTGTAGCGCGGCCAGGAAGGATGCATGAGAAGACCTGGACTGGAAGGTGGAAGTGAAACTATTGGCACCGTTGCTGGTTTCATTTTGCTTGCTCGATTGACGGCGTGGTCAGTACGCCTATGGATGCTGCATCAGTACGTTTGAGTGCCCGCGCATCACGGTGTTGATTAAGCATTTCGTACGCTTCAATGCAATTCCCGATCGAGGGCAGGGCAGATGGAGGCAGCCGTGCCGGTGAGCTATGGGGCCAGGAGCCATGCGGCGGGCGTGGGGATGGGCACGGCACGACCGGCCATGCCGGATCCGGCTGCATGGCCGCGCGCTGTTTCCCGAGGTGTTGGCCCCCCGCCGCTGGCGGCAGGCAGGGCATGAAACGTGCGTTTTGACGAGGACCGTGCAGCGTGCGGGTCGCGGCTGCGACATGCCGCACGGGCTGGTGCCTGGTGGGGTGGGCCGGCACGCCACACGCTGGGCACGGCCCGAGAACGCGTGGGTCTCGTCTTGTCCAAGGAGTTTCCCGTCAGGCCGTCACCGATTCCGCCCACACCATGCGAGGCCCGATGCGCGCGCGCAGGTAGAACGAGTGGAGACCATCCGTGCCCTGCCGACTGCGCCCATCCGTCCGAAAGCGCCGCGCCGACGACGCCGTTCGCGTTCTACCTCCGGCGTGGCGGTGCCCCTGCACTGCAGGAATCGGGGATACGGCTGGAGCAGGAAGTCTCTGCCACCTACTTGTGCTTACTTTGTCCACTTCCAGTCTTTTGACACTTGCCCCGAATTCAGTGGCAGGCGGTTTTCTGGTGTTGTCACTTGCTGACTTGTGAACTGTGATCATGCTACGTATGCTCCGGCAGTTTTGGGGAGCGTACTGATTTGCTGAAAGGTTACCCCTGACTCCCTGAGTCACCAGTCATACACAAAGGCCTCACGTACTCCTAGGCCTACTTTGGGAACTTAGGGCGATTAACCTAGAGAACAAAACCCCTCCGTGGAATTTTTTTTTGACAATTCGAATCCCCGCGCACCCGCAGGTACGGGACAATTACCCTGCGGCTGTTTGGAAGCAAAATTTCAGGCTAGGGGAGATAACCACGGACATCCCTACTCGCAAAATCCTTGACCAAAGGACTTAATCAATGAAATTCAACTGAACCATTGACCAACGGACTTAACCATAGAAATTAAACTGGATTGATTGCATGAAGCAGAGACAGCAGCAGCCTAATGCAAAATCCTTCCTTGCTATAATGAACAACATTTTCATGAAAATAATGCATGAAAAAACACAAAAACCAAAATAATGCAAATAATTGAGTAACATGAGAAGCCGCATCAAGAATATGGAATGATAATTTTTTTTGACATAGTTCAATACATAGAAAGATTTAATTCAAGTGGCAAATTAAACCTAGCTAATCCATTCGTCACCAAATCACAGATCAAATCCATCTAGATATCCAAGACATATAATAAAAAATATGGTTTAACTCCTTGCATAAGCAGTGTTCGAGAGAGAAAAAAAGAACTCCTTTGCATAAGCTTTTCACATAGACACTGCAGCCAGTAAAAATAATTTTCTTCTCAAATCATGCATTTGCTTCCACACCAAGAACCCTGCAGGTAAACAAGGAAAAACATTAGTAGCTAGAGACATACCTAAAGTAAACTAATCTAGTGTTGCTAGGATACATCAACTTGAACCAAGGGCGAACATGTGGCATGCCACATCAAGCAAATTACAAATGTGGAAAAGTTGTTTAGTTTTGGTGCAGCTGCAGGTTAGTCATCTAAGCTCCACAAGACTTGTCATAAAATGCAGAAACAAATTCAATCAGACCTACATAGAAGGATGGCTAAGATACTTTTTTTGAGAAACCAAAGTAAACAAGATAGCACTTTTGTACAGGGTAACAACTAAACCTGTTAAAATTCAACTAAAAAAGAAGTAAATATATTGGCATCAACCAACCGAAGAAAAAGGTTGAACTATTTCATCATGTATTAAGATATTCATAATACTACTGCTTTTTCCTTCTATATTCCACTCTGAAAAAGGTTACTAGCAGTAATCCCATTGTTACATAATTTATATATTCTTTCTGTTCATTGATCATAAATAAAATGCAAATTAAATTAAAATAAAGCTTCTTGACCGACTAGCTAGCTGAGAGTACACATTAGGCTAGCTAGCAGATTGACGTGTGTACTTTTATTGAAGTGAGCATTGTATTAAGCTGTACTCTGTGCAGTTAGTCACCTCCGATCAAAAACTTAAATCGCAAATCTACCTCTAATCATCATCCAGCAGGCAAGCACAGCAGCTGAACAAACCAAGACTACGATAGCCCTGTTCGCTTCGCTGAAAAAAAAAACCGAAACACTGTTTCTGGCTGATTTGTTATGAGAGAAAAACACTGTTCCGGCTGAAAAAACAAGCTGAAAAATATGGATTATAAGACAAACGAACAGGACTAATTCGCAGCCT